GTCAGTAAGAACACGATTCAAGGTCCATAGACTACTCGTGACAACTGTGACGCAACCCAATCGATATGCGAATACATTTCGATTAAATTACACAAAAACCTACCACTTATACAATCCGCGCGATTAATGATTACAGCTAGCGTAAACCACAAACCGTTCAATACTTTATTCTGTAGGTCGTAAGGTTGGAAAACGTGCGGTGATGAGTGTGCTTACTCATTTAGTAAGAATAAAGAATATTTCTCTAAATGTCAAAACTTTTGCTAACATTTACATATTTGATCTATAGTTTAGTACAAGGCGATGTGACTTGAGAAAATATGTTGGAGAGTGTAGCAGCTATTTATCTACATAGTTGACGAGAATCAGAAGTTATGTATAATGTAACAACCCATTATATGTTAATGGTGACATAAAGGGACAATCAAGCACCTAATTATTGTATAATGAGTGTAGTGGCGATGTCTACGATGATAATATTACGGCAGACGGAACTCACACAAGCGCTGGAGTAATATCTCCTTGTAAAAACAAAAGCGCTTATCATAATAAGAATTTCGTACATGGATGAAATGCGCATTTTAATGAGAAATGAGAATAATACATTGAGCACGTCGAGATGGATATTACAAGTAGAAGAATAAAAAGAACTTGAAATATTATTTTGAGACATGAATATCATTAATCACAAAGATATTCCTGCATAAGAAGAAACAGAATCCTTAGCAAATTGAAAAGAAAATAGGCCTTGTCTAGCTAAAATTATTATAGAAATCAACTATCGCCTCTTGAAACAATGGCAATTTCCCTATCAGTGTGCGCCTGCGCAACTATTAGTCAGATAGTCTCCGGTCGTAGCGGCAGTAACTGTAGCGTCATCCACTGTTAACTAGTCGCAAGGCCAACTGGGGATTATGTGCGACACAACTATTAACTCAGACAACAAAATAACAAGACATTTCTTGGATTGGATCCGTACTTGCAGTGTTACGAACAGCATTAGTTGGCACTGTAATGTGGTTGCCGGGCAATTCCCGTGGGATGCCTTGTTATCACTGGGGACTTGGCGGAAAGGGTTTAAGTTACATCAAGATGGTTCTGTCTGTCAGTCTGTCTTAAACTGGACTTGTGACAACGGTCACTCTGAACCGTCCTTTTGTATTGTTTTGTTGAGGATGTCTTGTACATCTCAAGTGGACAACGAGAATAATTTATCACAGTGATTGACACTAAACTGGCTGTCTCTATTTACTGTTCCTTTGCCGTGAACCACTACATCAAAACATTTTGCTAAATAAAAACAGTCCGAGAGTGACGTGAGAAGGGTAGCAAACGAAATGTCAGCAACAACTAGCCGGAGTGGTCAGAGCAGAATTGTTTGAAACATTTCAGCTTTGACCCGAGCACTGATGAATTATGTTTTAATCTTAGTTTTACCGACACAAATGTTATGTACGCAAAAGTATTTCTCTTTGTACACACTCTCACAAATGTTCCGAAAGCCGACAAAGAAGCCCGCAAGTGGAGGGTAGGAATTTTATAAAATAAAACGCTGCTCCATTTTCCTTTTCGGAGAGTTATTTAAACCGTGTACACAAATTCAGATGGAAAGGAATTTGATGCAACTCTTTCAGACTGTGACCGTGACTTCGGCCACTAAGAGTACATAGTAATACTACATTTGCATAATTTCGCCATTACTAGACATCATAATCTGACTACGAATGTTCGAAAATGTCTTACACGAGAGTAATTTTTTGTGCTAATACCATTTTGTAGGATATAATGTTCCACGTGCTAACTAATTTTGCGTCAATTTACAAGTAAATGATGATTGGTGAAGTGAATAATGGAAAACTTGACATTATAAGTCATCCATCGTCCACGTCTCGTAATGATTATGAGTCAACTCGAACTTTGGCCTAAGCAGTGCTAATGAAGATGCCTGTAAGGCTGTAAACCTCAGTCGCACAAGGTGACGCATTCATTACTCCAAGCAATAAACTAAACAACATTCATTTTAACATAACGTATTGGCACGTCGGCTCTTAAAACTCTTAATTACCGGTGTACTGCGAGTACCTGGTTATTTATGGAGAACTCAAATCTAAACGGTTCCAATGGGTACTGAGAACGGAAAATATCCATTGGAAGAAACAACAAGCATTAGAACTCCAGGTACTGCTAGACTTTTCCAATAAGATCATTTAACTTGGTAGAGAAGAAAGCTTGTTCACACAGCTATGCATGCAGCATACATCACTGACATGTACAGTGTTCGGTATAAATAAAGCTAGACATGGAACGAGCTCTACACACGCCACATACCTACCTACCACGGCATGCATGCGCCCACACTAACCCGTGCAGTTTTCCAACCTCATGAAATTTATACACACGAGCTTTCAGCGTCGGTCAAGGCCAGGCCAGCTCAATTATGAATAATTCTACAGTTAATAACTAGTCTTGAGCAAGAAATAGGTGTGTCAACTATCGGACGTCTGACTACAAGTTCGTGTCCCGTTTGGTTGGATTGTAATAGTATGATATGTATGTAATCACTTATAAAAAGTAAAAGCAAACTGCGAAATTTAATCTATTACAGATTGGTTTGCTTGGCTTGCTCACCGTCGTAATGGTTGAGTAATAGTCATAACTACATAAACGTATATTTCACATGGCCCAGACTAGGATAATCCCGTGTCGTGACTCGTGTGTGCAATTACGAGCACAGAGCACGTTCACAAACATGCACATCTGTGGATCATAAAAAATCTGATGCGGGAATAAATTCACGACACAGAGCAGACATTTCAGCATTGCACCATTTAGGGCGAAAGTACGACGATAAAACGCAAGAAATATAGTATTTATGTAGTATTTTATCAAACGATGTATTTTAATGTTACATTATTTTACCTAGTAAACCAAACATTTTATATGCAACACAATATTGGCGTGTCAAGAAGCTAGGTGTTACTCACTCTGTCTAGAAGTATTCGACTAAGAAATGGCAACATATTAAATGGTTTAGTAGATGTGTAGGTAATGTGTTGGCTAGTGGGGCGAGCAGTATTAGCGCGGCACTAACGGGGACACCGTCTCGACATTGACATAATTCACAACATCAAAGTAAACAGGGGGACATCAATCCTTACGTACACTTTACGTGCGTGCTTGCACACTCTGTGGAAGACAGAGTCAATATTGGGACTTTGGAAGACCAGAAGAATTTCTTTGTGAGAATATTTTTCTCTTTGAAACCGTCATTTATGTAGCTAAATTTAATAAAATATAAACAAGAGAAAAATAACGTTCTATATTATAATACTATTTCTATTGGATCCAGCAATTTGGTAGGAATGGAATCCCATGTTGAAGCCACCACAAATGTTCTGCTATTAAAAAATGCCGCAGCATCCGTCAATAGATGTTCAAGAGTTTATTTCCAGCTCGGCCAATCAGCAAACGAGTGGAGTTAACTAGTTAACCTACATTTTTGACAAAACTACATCAACCAATTTGGCACAGGACACGGTCAGGATAATTAATGTCATTCATTGCGCGTGCGGATGTCATTGCTATTTTTTACTCGACTATTTAGTAGATAATATCGTTTGTATAAATAGTATTCCAGAGGCTATTTCATCATAATAATAACACAGAAACATGTTCGCTCGTTATCTTTTGAATTTATGAAATTGGGAATCAAAGTTGATAGAATGCCAGAATGATAAAATATCGGTAGATAACGTGGCGTCTCGATATAATATGTTTGCTTTCTTTCTGCTTAATGATTTTTATTACAAATATAAATTGTCGTCTTAATCCTTTTGATATAGAAACAGCGCAGACATCTAGTCATACCGGCGCCGTTACGTTTCAAACTGGTACTCATATAACATGTGCGGAAAGTAAATAATGTACATACATTTTCTAGTACTATTGTTTACAGTAAAAATAAAATAACAAGCAAGTAAATTGTACGATAAATAATAAGGAATGTGCCACAATGGGTCGGGAATACTCGAGTGACGTAAGGTGACGTTGTATAACGCACTGGCGATACGATGCCTGCACGCACCACGCATTGCCCACAACCCCCATGCCACGCCAGCTACACTTTATGCAATATTTTCCTCTAGTTAAGTTAACCTTCCCACGCGAACTTTATTATGGCTATGATTACCTAATGTAAATATTACAAAATTTTGTTGCTTTTGCTTTGGTTACTTGTAAATATTTTTGTTATATCGCATCATTTTTCTTGGTTCATTGAACTACTTTCAGCTACCTTCTTATAACTGCCATCCAAATTACAAATGCAAACAGCGACTATTAGTATTACAATAGTGAACACTACAACATGTGTCCAATCAGAACTACTTGACAATATGCATCGTTGCGAGGCACCGGCTCGGAAATCGAACCTGACACTGTGACCTACATTCTAATGAAGCGTACTGCGTCGCATTGTGCTTTATTATTCCTATGTTAGTGTTATATAACTGAATGTGCCGTTGTTGTATATCATTGATCCATATTCCGACGCTAATGATCCACAGCTTGTAGTTCTCACAAGGCATCGATACATGCATGCTCTTCCTAAATTCTAACACATTGATGTTTGTTATTGAGTAGAACATTGTACAACTCTTACAAATCATTGTTGTGTAAACCTGATCACACGTCGAAAGACCTTGACACACCTAAGCTGTTCGAGTCAAAATCTCGCGTGATGTAAGCAGAATGGACCTCAAGATCTTATCGAGCTCAGTTAGCCTGATTGCCGGTGTTTCAAACTGTTTGTGGGAATAATTGCACTACTGCTGCCGATTGTAGCAAACGGGTGACCGTATATGGAACGGATATCTATGAGAAAGTTAGTGGATCTTACGCCGGAATAAGTACGCAATGGCCTACTCACATAGAAACTTCAATTTTTAAACATTTGACCATTTTATTGATATTGAGGAAGAAACAAATAAAACACCACTTACCAGGATAAAAGTCGTGGGACTTGGACATCTTGACCCTGGCGCCAGTGTCCTTCTGCAGCTGGGCGATGGTCTCGCCACCCTTGCCGATGATGGCGCCGGCCACCATGGACGGCACCAGCACCTTGAAGTGGTATGTCGGCTCCACGGCTGCAGAGCATACAGTTGCATGGTGAGAAGAGCTCCCACTAAACACTACATTCTGAGCACTGTGTTCCGTTAAAAACAATCAATAAAAACTAATAGTATCGTTCTCAGAAGTTATTATCGATATAGAAAAGCAATTACACAAAAATCGTAATGGTTTCTATTATAGTAAACAAGAACGGAAGAGAACAAATATTTGCGTAGGACGTTATGAGATATTGAGGAATATAATTGCTTTTGTATTGACTGCTAGCTACAATAATACATACTTTATCTGTAGTTATGTGTGGATATATTACTGTAACTCTGTAATTCCAATTTGCCAATTAATCAATACAGCGATTTCACGAGCCCTTTGAAGATTATCCCAAAAACAGATTATATAAATTGGTTTCAGCTACATTCTGGATGCTGCTCCGGCACCCGATATAAATTAACTCGGGATCTCATAAGTAATTAAAGAAAATACAACCGAGGTTAATGCGAAAAGGGTTGTACAAATTGATTAGCTCCGTTAAAAATACTACAAATTGGATCGGTAGAGGTGAAATCTAAAACGGAATATAGTGCTCAGGATTCATTAGGAATACATTTAAAATGAGGTCTCATGGATTTATGTGAAATTGTGAATACGGAAAATTGGTTTAGACCATGAAATCCCAGTTTATATGTATAATAATATATCGGCAGAGGCTGGTGATCAAAAGCATCTGTAATGCAGTCGGAGCACCAGTTCCGGCAGAGTGTGAGTCAGTGTGAAGTGCACATTATGTATGTATTGTAAACCACACCTGCGGGCCTGTGCTAATGTCAGTCGCGATGACGGTGTATGGAGATTCAATAGCCAACATCAAAAATGTATTATTTTATTAATTAGCACCAACATTAGCTAGTTTGGTGACGAATTAATCTTGCGAGTTTGTTTTGGCACGACTCGATAGTTCTACCGTACCAGTGTTAGATTTGTTTGCATTTATGCTCGTATATTATTTTGAAGGCAAATAGTACAGCTTTTAATATTTCATAGTTATTATTCACATGCATTTTATTCGCTGATTAATGCTAGATCTAAACACTGATGAAGGGGTCGACCAAGAAAAGCCTAAATGATTGATGATAGAGAAGTTTAATGACCGCTTTGCTTGGAGAACTTAGTCCCAATAAGAAAGACGTTGTGGTGAGAGCGTCAACTTTTCAGCGAAACATTTTGAAGAAAGATATTAAGTGGCGACCAGAAAGTTACAAAGTTTTGATATTTCCCAGAGGGATAAACAACTTGTACCATTGACAAAGAAGACGGACCAAGTTCGGAGACGAAGAACAAACTAAGTAAGCACCGGCCAAGTTTCACTTGCTTTCATGGTTAATTTATAAATATGCAGTAAACCAGAGCGTTCGCTGGGACTATACAACTAATTTTACTTCATTAAAGCTCAGATTTGAATATAAAATTCCTTTCTGACGTAATTTCACAACCTGGTTTCATAAAATTCCAGCGGAACAGTTTAGGAGGCAGACCTTGAGGGACTCTAGTAGCTTTTGTTAGGAAGTATTAATCAGAACTATTGCGAAGTTGTACATAACAATGTGAAGAAACTAGTGTGCCACCTACATTCAATGTGTTTCAATTGAGTGGCAACCCACCGGCTGACGGCGCATCTCATTTGACCTCATTTCAAATGGAGCATGGCAGTTCACCTGACACCACTCACGCCGGTAGATACGAGCCACCAATTAACAATATGTATTGTACACGAACGAACCATTCAGTAATATTATATTTTAATGGCAACTAACCTCGTATTTATGTTAAAACACTCCTTGACGATTTAATAGTCTGTTAGGACCTAATTGAAATTTCACCAACTTGATGACAGCGCAGTATTGTATAGGATTCCACATCATTCAAAATTAGCGAGGAAATCGTTTCAAGTTCAGATAGTTAAATTGCCTAAACATTTCATGTTGCGGAGAATATTAAATTCAAATTACTTTTGTAACCAAAATAGCACTGACAACTCAATCGCAATCTCTACAGAAGAATTACGTTATGTATATTTCGGTCGGAGAGCTATTCAATATTCTTTGAAATGAAAAATAGTATCTGCGAAGTATACCAATCCACGGCGAGGACCGCGAAGATATTTCAAAGAGAAATATTTTCTAAAGCGATTTAGAACACAAGCGGTGCAAATAATATTCTTTTCAAACGTCGGTCGTGTGCTAAAAAAAGGTTGTCATTGATTTATAGATATTCATGACGTAGCAAAACGCCGCAGTCATGAATTTATTACATTATGCTTTTCCTACGTCAACATTATAGCGTGTATCATGCGCGGTAATTGGCTATTGTACAGACGTTACAACAGCAACGAGCAATTATTCAACACATTAGTAAACAACGGCGGCACTAGAATGTATCAGAAGTTCAGAACATTCAGAACGTATTAGCTCTGGCAAGTCGCATTCAACTTGACTTTAAAACATAACACTTTATATTTGTTCAGGAACAGGAAAGCTTACTTAATTAACTGGGGAAAATAAGAAACAATATAGAAATGGAAACAGGCCACCTTATTTCTTAGAATTAAAATAAAACAATACTTGAACATGTTTTTCGTCTACGAGTGCAGTCGTTCACTTCGAAGTAAAGGGAAATGGACAATAGGAATATTATTCGAGAGAAAAATCTTTATGTACAATCTCGTCATTATCGGAGTTACAGAAGAGGGACGGCAGGGAAAAGGCCTATTCTTCTACCCCACATTAACAATGGAGATTTGAGGCTTACGCGACCGACTCGGAGGCTGATAATCTAGACCGGGCTGACCACGGACGAATTATTACGACAGGGTTACGCCAAGATTAATTTCGCACTCAATTTGGCATTCACTTGATCCCCCGATAAGGTCGTCTTATCAAAGATTACAACCCTTTTATCTTACGGTACGTACTTTTATAACAAAAGCTTTTTCTATTATGAAATAATAACAAGCGTCGTCCAATTCGGGAGTCAGGTTGCCTCTTTGACAAAGGATCTCATTTAATGGCGCTCTCGTGTTCATTGGTGTTCTCGTTTTTTCGCATCAATTATTTTTTGTTAGTGTCCTTCACAATAAAGTTGTTTGACATAGAAATCAGAGGATTATAAATAGGTGAGAGTTTGCCGCACCGCTGCCGCACCTCTACTAGGTGTTCTAGGTCGCGACCTTATGGGCGCACGTTGCCAAGCGCCGCATTTGGCAATGCTAAGCCTCTAAAAGTTTGGCGATGCAAGCAAGCTTTCAGACGCAAACATATTGCATTCGTTTCGTTTGCAGTATCGCTATGTTCGCTATACATGGTCATGTTTCCGATGCCAATGTTACGGCTAATGAAGTTGAACGTAATTATACGGAGGTTTCTAATTATTATTTTCGGTATCTAATCAAGAAAGTTGAAAGTTCGCCACAAAACATTGTGTCACGAAAACAGAATCTTCAAACAATCATTACAAAGACAGTGTTTAAATAACTTCTATTATTATGTATTGTGCTGTGAGCTTTGTGTCCTTGTTAAGTCTGAGCAATGTTTATTCATTTGTTCAACAGTAATACGTAATGAGAATTTGTTGCGAGCCACTGACCACGCCGACAGCTACAAAACAACATGGTATTTGGTGTTTGCCAAATTACTCGTATATTTCTCTGCTAATAAGAGATATTATAATGATGCCATTAAAAAGGAAAAGTAAAAAATCGTTTCAAAAATATTGCTCGAAAAACGAAACTCAGGTATTAAGTACAATTATCATTATTCTAGTTGACGACGTGGTTAGAAGAGTCGTTTAAGAGAAATCACGGTACAAAATAGCACATAAACCTGTGAGTTTACGGCGAGGAAAGCGACCACATCGTGTCAATCAATAGTGTCGGTTGACTTGCCACTGTAGCATGCAGACTATTGCTGCCATGAACAGATTGTTCTGCGGCTCGACCGGCGGCATTGACAACCAATCGATACTAAACATCGACTTTGACGTCAAACTCGCTTTCATCGTCTGTTCACTGGCGTTTTAATATTCTAAACTTTGCAACGAGATCTGTGTCAGCGGCGTCCCGGATTTTTTGTTCTTTTTTTAAAGACCGGACACAAGGCCTTAAAGAGGGCGGAAGGCTCGAGAGGCCTTTACCCAACAGTGGGTGAAAGTAGGCCGAATAGACAGAAATCTTTTGTTAGTTCATTTGATAACCAAAACCGAATTCAAAGGGTATTTCAATTTTCCAACTTGTTAAAATCATAAGCTTTTGTTGAATGAAGAATATTGCTTGTCTTATATTAAGTAAGTTAGCAAACTATTAAGCTTAACATTATTATGTTACCTTAACCCAAGATTAAAGCAACATTTTATAAATATAGTGCTCGCCGTGTTCCCATTTCAGAAGGTACTCGGCTTGCATAAAGCTGCTGGCGTTTCATCTTTGTGCTTTGATCTGGAGCTGCAGCCGAGATTAATGAGGACTTTGTCTAGTCACACCATATCGCCAGCGGCCGTATAGTAAGTACAAACACTACTCCACACGCAACATGCAATTTTGAAAATGTTAAATTTTGTTTACTTAATCTCCTTCTCTTTGTTTTGTAACAAGTATGCAGTATGTCTCTGAGTTTGTTTATTTTTCTTTTATTTCTCATATCTGCTACATCGAGGGGTTTGTCCTTCTGCGAATTTATGATGGATATCTGTAATCTGTAACTGGTCCGAGGTGGGAGCCTGGAGATCCGTCACACAGGGAATCCTAGTATGGACTCCAGTCTCTCACAAAGGAGTACATTGTTTGCATTTGATTATTGTATCTTATTTCTGTAAATTATCCTTTGTGTAGAGAGATAATAAATAAATTTATTATTATTATTATTATTATTATTA